AATCCCTTCTAGATGCAGTAGTAATGCCTACCTTTAAAATAACTTTTACAAAATATTTTCAAAGATGCTAACAGCTCTCCAAAATTGTTAGTCAAAGTTAGAGATAAGTTCAAATTAGGATCTTGGTTCTGTCAAGTAGGCCTGAATGAATTTTAAATAAATATGAAATATGGGAGGTTTAGTAAGTACATTTTATAACAACAAGGTTTCACAAAAAATATCTGTGATCTTTTCAAGAAGAATTGAGGAGTGTGTCTCATACTTTTTCTTCAGTCTTCAGTCTATGTTGTCCACGTACTGAAAAGCAGCTGGTATTTTGCCACTCCAAATTTTATGAACCACTTCCTACTTGCATCTCCTTGTCATTGTAGCCCCTTTGAAGCCATTTAATAATTGTTGTGTAATTATTATTGTTATTGATGTCTATGCTTAGTTGCTTTCTTGTCCTTTATGAAAACCATAATCATGATATGTAAATCTTGGTCTTTAGGGGCTGGGTTTGTCATTGACTGACAATAGGCCCGTTCACACATAACAGTAAATGCGATTTGGATTGCGATGCAAAGATCAATTAATTTTTTGCGACCGTTGCGAATTGGATCGCGATGCAATGATCGATTTTTGGGGCGACCATTCACACACAGAGAATTCTTGCTCGACAAATCGTGAAGATTAGTGAAATTATTCTGTCCACACAATAAAAGAAAAAGATTTTTGGATGGCGATGCAAAAATTGATTTTTAAATATCACTTTTTTCAGGAGGTGTGAACGCCCCTATTATAATTGTACTCGGGACTTTTGAATGAACTGAAAACAATGTAAATCACTGCATTAGTTTCTTAGAAAACTATTGAATCTCTTTACCTGTACAGTATTTGTAAAATCTTGTAAATCGCACCAAACTATCTGTATTCTACGCAATTTATTGATTTTTGTTGTTGATATTTCAATACAGTACTTTGAAAGATTCTGAAAAAGAGTTTCTGATTCACATCGTACGTTGTCTGTATTCTAAGCAAACTATTGATTTTTTTTCTAATGTCATTACGTCATAAAATCTGAAAAAAATGTACATGTATTTGTATTTCAAAAGATTTGAAAATAACTTTACTCATGGCATGTGCTATTTGTATTCTAACTACCGGTAAGCAACGTACTGATTTTTTGTTTAGATTTCTCAGTACTTCAAAAGATCTGAAAATAATGCAAATCACATCATTCGTTATCTGTATTTCAAGCAAACTATTGTTTTTATTTTTTTATTTTTATGGATTTCAGTACTTCAAAAGAATCGACAACAGTGTAAGTCTCTGGATATGTTGTTTGTACTCCCAGCAAAGTATTGAATCTTGTTGACACATAGAGATGTAGATGTACATGATGATGTATTTGTACTTCAACAAATTTGAAAATAACATAATTCACGGCATGTGATATTTGTATTGCAAGCATAGTACTGATTTCCTTTTGTAGATTTCTGAGTGCTTCAAAACATTCTGGAAAAAAAAAATGTAAATTGCATTATTTGTTATCTGTATTCCAAGGAAACTAATGATTGCTTTTTTAAAAATATTTTATTACTTTAAAAAGAACTGAAAAATCAAACACATATGCTATTTGTTTCTTAGAAAATGATTGACTTCTTTTTAGATATCTCTCATACATGTAGTATAATTACTATCGTTTATGTAGCTTGAATTAATTTTGAAAAGGTATAGCTTCTCAGGATAAAGGGTCAGCTATAACCAGGACCCATATTCATAAAACCTAACTAAGCCTATCTGTTGTCAACTTACTACAGTATGTACCAGTACTAAAGCCTATTTAACTAGCTGACAACTAGCTTAGTAATTGGTTTTGTGAACATGGGTGCTGGTGACATAACTATAGCAGAATGTGAATTTGAATTTGAATTTGAATTTATTAACAACAACACATCACAATAATGACAGTACATATGAACAATCATACAATGCAAAAAATAGTACTGATACATGTATACATAACATAAGAGTAATGTCGATTGAACAGTAATGGTTTTAAAACGATATTTTTTAGACATACATCTGCATACTATTAAATGTACAAAAGATATATTCGTAAATATGTATATTACTATGTTTAGGTGAAGTTGTTACTGGGAACTAGAAGTTAGCACAAGTGCTAGTCGAGCCTAGTTCCATTCTTTGGCAAGATCTTTTTCTGTTAATTTGTTTTTACATATGAATGTAAAACTTGCTTATTTTGTATGTACATATATACAACAAAATAATACAATATCATGTAACTTTTTTTCTTTACTAAAATGAAAAAATAAAAATAAAAAAGCTTAAGCGTTAAAGCATTATAATGAAAAAAGACAAATCTTTGAAGAAATAAAATCATCAATGTGTTCATAAGAAATGAAAAGGATGTATTAATAAAAAATAATCATACACATGTATGTACATGCACAAATCCTGTAAAAGCTTAAGGCTGCTATAATCGTTAACAAGGAAGTGTATACATGTAGAAAAGGAAAAAAACGAAGGGGGATGGGATTGAGCCCACGTCATTTACATAGAAGGTAGGTGGAAAGATGTCTCCGAAAAGATAACCTTGATGTTTTTAATCTAATTTCATCTGGCAGATCATTCCACAGCTTTGTTCCTACAAACGAAATACAAAATTGCCCTTGTGTTGTCTTACATTTTGGTTGATAAAGTAGGCCACTTTCTTTTCTCCTAGTTGCATATCTGTGCTGTATCATCTGACAATAATCCACTAAAGAGTGTGGTAAAAAACCTTTTACCAAATCGTACATAAATGTTGATACAAGAAGTTCATGAAGTTGAAAAATATTTAAAATGTTTAGACTTTGAAAAGAGCTTTGGAGTCTGTTCTAAGTGGACTGAATGTAATTGCTCTCATTGCCATTTTTTGACTTAAATATATACAATTTAGATTATTTTTGTAATAATAATAATAATAATAATAGCTATTTCTTATATAGCACTTTTCAAGACCGAAGGCCCTCTCAAAGCGCTTTACAGATACATATATTGTAAGTGCTCCCCCATACTTCTGCTCCATAAGAGAGGTGAGGCTGTATAAAAGCCTTATATAATAACACAAGTATATTCTTGGGAACAAAATGTCTCAGTTTAAACAGAATACCTACTTTCTTTCTTCTGCATGTGTTTATTGTCTGAATATGTTCTTTCCATGAAAGGTGACAATCAATTTCAATTCCTACAAATGATGCAACAGATACCTCTTTAATATCTGATCTTGATATTCTCACAGATCCCTTTTTGTCTATTGATCTACCTTTGGATTTCATAATCATATAGTTTGTTTTCTGTAGGTTAATTGTGACTTCATTTGCATTACACCATTCCTGCACCGTCACTAAATTTTCACTTACAATTTCTAAATCAATGTAATCAATGTAATCAATGTAATCAATGTAATTTGTTTATGTTATTTCTCTCATGAGGTAAAAACTGTTTGTAATAATTATAGTCTCTTAATTGCCTGTCATACCTGGGTCGACTGCCAAATCAACTCCAAATTGACTGATTCTTGTTCATTCAACATCATCCTAAGAATTCATGTTCTGGATAGTGCCCGATCTGGACCCTGTTTCATGAAACTCGTTATCATAACAAATGCCAAAATTCTATGACAAATTAGCTCTTAGCCAATCAGATGCCGCTATTTCAATAGCTTATAGCACTTACTGTAACTTGTTATTGATAACAAGTTTTAAGAAACGGGGCCCTCGTGTTGGTATAGTCGATATGACTGAGGTATTACATTTTAAAAATGATAGATTTTTTAAAATACTTACATGAAGAATTCATTCTTCCCCTTTTATCTAGCGAGATTATGAGAAAATCAAAGAATATTGTACTTGTAAGTTGTATTGCAATAAAATGGAAGAAATAAAGTCACTATGCTTTCTATTAATTTGTATGGATGTCTAAATAGAGTAAGAGTAACATTTTCTTCAATTGTGGTAGTAGTTGGTGTGTCAGTACATGTGTTATTGTGTGTGGGGGATTACAATGAAATTATAAGTGTAATTCTTAACACTGTATACAACGTGTATACAAATTAAAAAATTAAATTTTTTTTTATAGTTTCTATTTCATTGTTCACCTTGATACGGGAACTATATCTCTCTTTCCTAATCTTCGATTTTTTTTAATCTTCTATTTTCCATCTCTTTCCACTCTGTTTCCGCCCTCCCCCTCCCCTTCTTTCTCTCCCTCTTCCTACCTCCCTCTCTCTCCCTCTCTCTCTCTCTCTCTCTCTCTCTCTCTCTCTCTCCCTCCCTCTCTCTCTCCCTCCATCTCTCTCTCTCTCTCTCTCTCTCCCTCCATCTCTCTTTCTCTCACTCTCTCTCTATCCCTCCATCTCTCTCTCCATCTCCCTCTCCCTTTCTCAATTTCCATCTATGATACAATTCTATCATTCTACCTCTCCTAGCATTCTCCCTAATACCATTCTACTTCTCTTACCATTCTATACAATTCTATATACCTCTGCTACCATTCAACCCGTGGCGGATCCAGGGGGGGGGGGGGGGGATAGAGGGGGCGGGAAACGGGTGAAAACACATTAATTTTACCCTTTTTTGGAGATGGGCCCCCTCCCCTGGCGCTCAAGGGGGGGGGGGGGATGGGTGCGAATTTTCAAATTTTTGAGAGCCAAAAAAAAAAAAAAAAATTAGTGCTCCTTTTTTAGAGATTGATAATTTTGAAGCGATGAGAATGAGTGAATATAAGTCTAATAGAAAAAGAGAAAGTGTATGCCGAATTATATTAACTTAACTTCTTTCTATAATCAACTTTACTTCTTTCTGTAATCGAAATGCCCCCTTCCACCCCGCCCCTAGGCCCTTTCCACCCCCACCCCCCCCCCCCCCCCCCCCCCCCCCCCCCCGATTTTACGTACATATGCCATCCGGCCGCGCACGCGCACGCGCATTGTAACTTCTTCAACGTCTTCAACGTCGCTCTCGGTCGAGATTTTGGCCGAAACAGAATCATAACGTTTTTATTCGATTGCCCGTCGTGTGTAGATCTTCTTGGTTGTACGGTACATTGGCTTTATCATATCATCGGTAAGCATCTAATTTATTGAATTTTACCGTACCGAAATGTTTGATATCAGATGATTTGTTCGTGATGATGTATATAATTGCTAAGCCGACTGATCGTAGTGCGAACGTGAGGCATAACACCCCGGCTGCGAGGGCGGACCAGTAAGCCCAAGCACTGTATACTACATGCATGTAGCTGCAGCTGGGCGGATCGTGTTGCCTGTAGCTGTCGACTGTATGTTCATGTTTGTGCAATGTGTGAGTGTGGTTAGGGAGTTCCTTGTGTGACTATAGTATTGTTCATGTCTTAACTTCTTTACCTGAAATTGACTTCTACATAGATTGTTGTGTTATGATTTATACTAATAAGTAATAACAAACTTAGATTTCTATCTTGTTCTTAATCTTATTCTTAATATGGCCATCTCGCGATCTCATGAAATAAGCCACTGATCATTGAACATGTTTGAATGTCACTGTGCATGCACACTTGAATTGCATTAATCTAATCTATCAAGGCGATGCGATGTATGCCATGAACTGATGAGCAGTTGAATCGAATGTTACCAGAGAATACCTACAACATAGTAACGCAGAGCCTGAGGCGGCGAGAGAGAGAGAAGGGGGCAGGGTTTTGCCCGTGGAAAGTGAGAGATAATTTCCATATGCTGCATTTCGGGCTGTTGCAAATCAGGTTATGGCTCATGCAATGCCACAAACAAAACAGTATTACTCTACCCAGTACTGACTTGAAATAATACAGTGAAGGAAATGTTTCTTGAAAAATAAGCAGACAATTAATTTGTATGTAAATAATGATATGGTTCGGGATGCACTCGTTGGTTCTTGTTTTAAACCCATGGGGGAATACACACAAGTACTCATTTGTCAACAGGTTTAACAGATTACTCCTCGTCAATGTCTGAACCCACTTTGTGATTGTAAAAAACTTGTAAACCATACACACACACAGTGAGAGAGTTCTTGTAATCTTTTCAGCTCTAAATCGTCAAGCTTGGCATCTACATTGTATGGCTAGGTTCACACCAAAATCTGATAACTTAAAGTTTAGGTCGTTGCTTTAACTCATTGAATATTGGAACCGGGTGAAGCCCGTATTAAGCCTATGGGAATTAAAGATTTCAGTAGTCCAAGGGTTAAACATCAAAGTCCTATTGAAGTTTAATAGGGACCGATAGGGATGAACCCGTGGTTACTAAACTTTCAAGTTAACTTGAAGATACATGTACAAACGACAACAGATTTTGAGGTTAGCAAGATAACTTCAAACTGAGCAGACCGTCCTCACTTGAAGTTAAGTGCTGTGAGAACGCGATTAAATTGAATTAAATTTGAGCTTGTAGTTAAAATGAATGCTTTCCCAGGCTTGTAGTTTAAACTTATTGTTTCAGTCTCGTGTGAACCCTTGTCATTGTTAGTAGATTGTTATTTGAAGAGCTTCATTCCAAAAGGAGCTAAATCCATATTTCATCAAAATGGAGTTATTTGTCTTAAAATAATGACTTCCTACATGGGGACAAAATGCACTATAACACGTTCGAAAATTTCACCAGGAAGTATAAAAAAAAAATTAGGTACAATATCATGTTTCATTCCAAAAGGAGCTAAATCCAAATCGGTTTCATTCCAAAAGGAGCTATATCCACTTTGAGTAAATGACCTTTTTAATTTCTCCACTTTCCCTTTACCAATTTACCTTTATATTGTTATACATCTTAAAGGGGTCGCTCTGGACCAATAATATATGATAAGAAAAAAAATCTACCAGTTATTTCTGACTTTTAGTAAATTTTTAGATTTTGTGGATTTAGCTCCTTTTGGAATGAAACATGGATTTAGCTCCTTTTGGAATGAAACGGATTTAGCTCCTTTTGGAATGAAAATGTGATATGTTGTTTACTTTCTTTCCAAAAGGTTTTTTTAGTTGTGATTTCACTATTATTATTTAAAAGGAAAGGTTTGCTACTAAATTTGAATAGTACATTTCAGTGACTTTATTGAGAAAATATAAAATTTTCCGGGTACAAAATCATGTTTCATTCCAAAAGGAGCTAAATCCACGAAAACAAAAATTTTAAAAATTTAGTAAAAATCAGGAAACACTGGTAGATTTTTTCTCATCATATATTATTGGTCCAGGGGGACACCTTTAAAATATATAACAACATTAAGGTACATGTACATGGCTAAAGGAAAAGTGGAGAAATAAAAAAAAAGGCGATTTACTCGGAAGTACCCAAAGTGGATTTAGCTCCTTTTGGAATGAAACTCTTCATTTGTTACTTTGAGATTTTGCAGACTTAAATATTTAAAACTATGATAGATCTGTGTGAACATATTAACTATGGCTTCCATCTCAAGTTTTTTTAAAGTTATTTTGAGTGCACATGATGTAGTGTAAGTGTGAAGTAACCTTTTTAAAAGGAATCCCATCCTGATTGCCATGGAGACGAGGCTATTAACCGTTATTAGCGGACTGTAGTGGCAGATAAAGACGTGTCCAGAACGAAAAATGCATATTTATTGAAAAACATAATCTTACCCCACAAATATAACAACATCGTTAAGAAATGGAGCTGGTATGAAACGTATACCTTCTTGATGAGGCTTAAAGATGAACTTTAGTACTGGTAATGCGATTGCATTGTGAAAGAAAAGGTGTGGAAAGGATCAGAAACAGTTGATCATGTAGTATGTACATGTAAGTATTGGTGTGCACTGCAAGGTTCTGGAGTCATCAAAATCATAATAAATTTGACAGAGTCTTGGTAAAGTAACAAGCACTGTACACAGAAAGCTACATTTGTATATATGGGACAACACACATGGTGTCGGGGCTAGTACTACCTTGATTTCCTTGTCTTTCTATGCTCATTACTCAGCCAGTATACATGTACATGTACATTTTGTTCCAAAATTGTTTGGCACATGTCATTTATTCGTAATCTTGAACATTCAGTGTAAGTATCGTTTGATTCTGTGAGAGTTAATTTTCTTTTTTTTACCAGAACTGGAGTTTATCTTTAATGTGAGGTAAAATTTCATTCAGATATAAAAAATTAAAAAAAGGAACTTTTATAGGATATTGCAGGGATTTGCAATTTTGAAAATATTAATAACTTTGTAAGAGGGCCAAAAATATGGTAAAAACCATTATTGAAATCTCTAGTAAAAATATGGTGGCAAAATATTAATTATTACCAAAATAACAGTCATCATAGATATCATAAATTTAAATTACCTTAAATATTATGTTAGTTAATTTGTTGCAAATGAAAATCAATATAATCCCTGTGGAGGGAAAAAATATGGAGGGAAAAAAAATCTTTTCAAAATCGAATTTTGCAACTGGCAGTAGGTATTTTATTTACCCAATTCGTTGCACAGATAAAGGGTTTCAATTTCCACTCATAGCTAGAGAAAACCACAGACTTCTGATGTGAAAATTTGCACATATTGTATACATGTACATGTACTTTCATAAACTCCTCTTGCTGCTACAGATAAATTCGAGATGAATTTGATGGCTTGCAAATTCCTGATAGGGGCTTTAATTAACGAACATCACACAACTATTACGCATTTTGGTTCCTGACGTGTCCTTTCGTACCACTTTATTCCGCTAAGCTAGCTACGTAAACTCTTTCCTATACATCTGGTGAAGGCATAAGCCTGCTTTTAGATCAAGAAATGCAAAGTGAGAGATATACATGTATACTATGGATTTATTGGTGACCGATGGAATATTTATGATCGGTTACCACGTGTAATTCAATGCCTTGGACTTGGGCAAGGTCACTAGATGACATGGTTTCAGGAGCAAGTTATTTGCACAAGCAGCGATTGTTCAATTTGACCAGTAAGGAACAAAAGAAGCCTTATAAATTTAGAATGTTTGTTTCTTCAGAATGACTCATTATTCATTAATAATGCTTGCAAAATGTAGTCCTCCATACAGTACATACACTGTACATGTACATGGACCTGAACATTCAGGAATTTCTATGAGTATGCTTTGATAAATCTATGAAATTCAGGCACACATTTTTTTTTTTTTTTTTTTTTTGGGGGGTGGGGGGAGGGGGGAAGGGGAAGAGGGTACAGTACATCTCTCAGACAAACACAAATAAAGGATGGGGTGAATTATCAAGTACAAGTGTAGGGCGATAAGGATGCATTTCATACTTGTTTTAAAAATATTTAATTCAAGGGAAGGGGTGGGGGTACAAGTACAAAGTACAAGTACATAGAGTAGACTATGTAGACTGGAAAAAGCCCCTGACCACCCCCCCCCCCCTCCCCAAGTGGTCTGTCGCATGATGTGATTAGTATCTTGTAAATGATTTGATAATTCATTGTAATTTCTAACTTCCTTTCTTTAGCCTTTAGTTTCTCTCTCTCTTAAATGTGATCAGAGCTTTTTTGCAGTACATGTACATGTATGTTTGTTATTTTTAGTATTTAGTGTGAACAGAGCTTCCTGTTTTAAACACATATTTTGTTAGTCTTTTTAGTATATAACTCTATAAAGTATGCCAGGTAAAACAAGAGGTTTAATTTTGAGGAGTGTCATGTACAGGTACAGTGTATGTAAACATGAAGTAAGAATTTACATATAGTAAGAACACTTGAACAGATAAAACAATAACGGTAGGTCTAATTTGAACCAGTGTGAAGAGAGCTTTTAGATTAAAACAAATTTTGTTTTTCTTTCAAATATTTAAATGTACATGTATCTTGAACAGGTAAAATAAGAGCTTTAATTTTGAGGAGTGTCAACACAGCTTTTTAATGAGCATGAAGTAATTTTGCCCTTTTAACATTTATTATTAATAGATCAAATGAGAGATTTTATGGGGAGCAGTGTGAACAGAGCTTTTTAATAAACAGTGGTTACGCACGTTTGTCTGTTTCGTATGCACAGGTGACGGCCAAGCCCGTCCCTCGTGATATCCAATCCCCAGCATCCTGTGGGAAGAGATCTCCATGCATGCAGAATTCATGGTTTTAGGAAAATTTATAAGTAGTCAATATCTTCATGTTCTTCTGTATGCAAGATTATGCACTGGCACAGTACACCTTGTTTGCTTCAAATATCTAGTAGTTGGAGTCATGGTGGCAGTCTGTCTGACAGTCTGTCTGACATGATACTGGGATTCGTTGGGAGAAAATGTACTTTGTAATTAATACTAACAAGATTCCAGTTGTTCATGGGTGCAGGTTGAGTTTTTAATTGATTAGTGTTTATTTTATCTTTAAAATCATTGTTTACAACTACTGTACATGTACACTAACACAATGTACATGATGATGTTAGTATAGAGTACACATACATGTACATGTATGTAACCATTTAGCAGCCAGGGGACCTACAGCTATGCTAGTCCTATTCAAGGGACTTGGTAATTGCGGATCCTGCTCAAACATATTTCCCTCAGTGACAATCGCTCCAGGAATTATTTCAACACAGATGAAGGGATGGGGTACGATTGGTTTTTCACTTACATGTACATGTAGGTTTAAGATTAGGGTCAGTGCACTTTCTGATTCAGGGTTGAAGGTAAGAATTTGGTTTGTGTAGGACATTGACAGTAGAGCAACGATCGCATGTGTCGAACAACTGTTCAGTTTTTAGTTATTATATGGACATGTGCCTGCCCTTGTCACTTGTGTTGGAACTTGCTTTCAAATAACTAACATCTGGTCGAGATCACAGATCAAATTCTTTGGATGAAATTTATTACATGTAACTGAACTTAGCCCTATGGTTATAATGTCTTCAGAATTATGTTGTGTTCACATTTTAATGTAGAAGTTATGCTACGGTCACAAAGGTTCGTACGAACGATAATTTCGTACAAATCTCCTTGTTTTTCTATTGTCTTCCCGAATTTCCATTGTCTGCAAACTGTTCGTAAGGCGTTCGTAGCAGTTCGTAATGGCATTTGTGACGAGGCTTAACTTGTATTTCTTTGTTTTTGTTATCATTGCAGATGGAAAATGTTGATCAGTAGAAGACATCTGTGCAAAGAAACCAGTCTGTATTAAAGCAGAACTCGAGACATCGCACTCCTCCCCATCGTCCCTCGTCTTCACTCCATCATCATGGTGACAGAGAAAGGATCCAAGCATCCTACCCTCCACAGGGATCCAAGCAGGGAGCCGGTGGTCCTTCCCTGTGACCTGGGGACATGGCCCCTGGTCCAGGGAGCCCTCACCAGGATGCGCAAGGTCACCACCATGTCCGAGACCATGCCCATCCTGGACCACGTCTACGCCCTCATCCACGGCGGGACCAAGTCGGCGGACGTCCGTAGGACCAAGGCAGCAACGGTCATGGCAGGGTTGGTCCATTTCCTGGAGGCGATTGCGACGCAGGAGGAGAGGATACTGTTCTTTGACCAGACCTTGCCCATGATTGTGGACCTTGCTCTGGCTCTTGGAGACCTGAAGCCGCAGGAGGGCTTCTTCTACAGTGTCCAACAAATAGGTACATGTATGACTTTGACTTTATCGAACATGATGTGAAGTTTTCTTTTGTTTGATTTTTCGAAATACTACATAATAATTATCTGTATCATCAATGAAAAATCGTCATACTACATGTCACATGTTGTGGTAATGTGCATTCTCTTGGTAAATGTGGAAAAAGTTAAAGCCCCACCGCACTAGTTTGGCCAGGAGGAATTAGACCTCCCTGCATGGTCACTGACAGGTGGTTATCTCATCAAATATTAAAGCTCTCAATTAACATAAGCAAAAGGGGATCATGGGGGACCAATGGTCACCAATTAGGCATTGTTAGCTATATGTAGAGGGCGCAAGTAGCTGTAAATAGTGCAGTGGGGCTTTAAAGACTGACGGACTTGAACAATATGTAATTTCCTAAGCACATTCTAGCTGTGGCCTTTTGAATACCAGTACCGAAGAGTTCAATCTGTCTCGGCTAAAATCTATTGAAAATCAAGGATATTTCAAAGTCTTGATCATATCATAAAGATCTAGAAGAGACCTATTTCCATTTTGATAGGCAATATTCTTGACCAAGCCTGCTCTGAAAAAGTGCTACTTCATATTCAAACAGTCCTCTAAATTCTTGTGTTGAGACAAATGGCAACTTTAATCCTGAGATGGAAAATTTGAGTCCTGTATCTAGAGGCTCTTCAGGTTGAGAGGCTCTCTATTTTGAGAAGCTTAAATCCCCTAAGTAGCCTCTTGTATTTAAAGTGCAAGTGTGTAAATGAAAATATTGACAGACCATGTACATGTAGGGTATCTAGTAGTTAACTAGATTGATACCCTTACCAATATAGTTTTTAAAGTAATTGAAATATTTATTTGTCCTGATTTACGTTTCTTAAGAATACATGTATGTCTGATTAAAGCTTACATCTAGAGTATTCAACAAAGGCCCTCATTGAACAAGTCCACCTTTCACTGTTAAGATACGAAAAACACAAAAACTACAAAGGGTATCAATAATTGATTTTAGCTGTAATTGACGTCCAATGCGCACTGTGATGTACAAAGGAAAGTTCACAATGGAAGCTAGGCATTAGTTAATCCTCTTGAGGCATTGCTGTCTATTGTGTTTAGTACCTTGAAAGAGTCCAAATATTGACTGTCCATTTGTTTGGAAAAACACACACACACTCATAGAATATTAGTGTAGTCTAAACTCTGAACAACAAATACAACCAAGATGCATTTACCATACACTTTAACAACTGACTTATTCATACCCCTTCTACTGTACATTTGATTTTTTTTTTTAAACCCCAAATGAAAGGTGGCCTGGTTGATTTAGGGCCCTTGTTTAATTTTTTAAAGCTTAAAGGTAAAGACCAGTTATGGTCATGCGATTGCATTGTGAAAGAAACATTGTGGAATCGATCAGAAAAGGTTGATCATCTAGCATCTAGCATCTGCAAGGTTCTGGAATCATCAAAATGATAAGAAATTTGGCCCATTCTTCGTAAACTTACAAGCACTATACACAGAAAGATGTATATGGGACTACCCTATATCTCTCACAGATCATGAGAGAAACAAATTTACCAAATATATGAATTACATGTAGTAGGCGGTTTCCCGGCAAATTTTTTATCATCATGTATTAGTCAAAACATATTCTTTCACATGATTGGTAATGAGAGCTTCCATTTCATTTTTTAAAATTGGGGCGTTTCCAATACTGGTCTTTACCTTTAATACGTGTATATCTCATATTTTCAAGAAACATATTAGAATCAGAACAAATCAACTCTTGACATACAGTAACTCAAAAATTACAAAACTTGGCAAGGGTATACAGTGTAGTTGTTAAATGTATTTTTAAGAGCAAATGTTAGTTACCGAGATAATACTTTCTGGAAAATGTGGGCCTACCAAATGAATGGATATAGAGTCTTCTCTTACCAACAGATTATTGTTTTGTGCCCCAAAAGAAATGTTCTGATTACACCTGTATGTTGAATTGAAAGTCAAAATTTTGATTCCCCTCTCTCACACCTGTTATGTTTTGGCTGTATACAATAGGGGGGGGGGGGGGGGGTAGATGCGGATCGGTTCGATAGGGAAGATCAAGGTGTACATGAACGTCATTGACTTCATACACGTGCATGTGCAGTGTATAGTGATATCGGATATCGGCCCTCAAAGGCAAAGGAAAGGCAGCCCTGATGAGCTTGGTACATTTGATACCATGCCAGAAACATGTGAATGAATCTGTAATGAATGATTATTTGAGATGCAATACAAACTGGGAAGTTGTAGAGTGCCAATATCTAGATGCGTAATCAAAGGCGCTCCTGAGACTAAGTGAGACTAATGCTAAATACTACTACATGTAAGATGACAGACAAAATCTAGTATTTTTTATGTCTTGCAGTAATGTACTATTGTACTACATGTATTTACTGTATGCTGCTGTATGTTACAAAATATAAAAAATATAAGTCAAGATAAGCCTTGACAGTCAGAGCACATTTATGAACAAATAGAGAAAATTTGCAAGGAGCATATTGTACGAGACGCTGGATAGAAAAGTACAAATTGAGGTTGCTAAGCACTGACAATTGAAGTTTTTGACATTAAAATGGCAAGCCCTGTAAATCATAGCACGTACATGTACACTGTACATGTAAAGGTACACGTACAGGTACAGGTAGTGCACAAAGCCAAAAATATTAGCATGGATCTGTATTGATTGATAGTGCCAGATAATGGATGAGAACCAATATCAGGTGTCATGCCTGCAGTGTTTTATGATTCATGATTTATGATGAGTACGGGTATATGTTTTTTTGTTTTTTTTAGAGCGCATTTAACCCAAAAAACACAGAAGTTTAGTGTTGCTTGTTTTTGCTGTTGTTGTTGATGTATTTTGGTGTTGTTTGTTTTTGTATTTGTTTTGTTTTGTTTTGTTTAGTTTAGTTTTGTTTTGTTTTGTTTTGTTTTGTTTTGTTTTGTTTTAATAATAATAATGTTCGAGGCGCAATGGAGAAGAAAAACTGCAAGTTTTGTATTGTTTTTTTGTTTAAACAATTTTGGGGTACTTTGTTGTATTTGTTGACTTTTTTTCATATGGTACACTGTACAATGCTGAGAACAGTGTAAAGCCAATATCTTGGGAAGTTCTGGTACAAGTACATATGGTACTGTAAATACACAAAGATCTACAACTATACGCAAAGCCAGAAAATGGAAAATATGCAAACTCTTTTTCTGATGGATCCAGGATGGAAACGGATCATGATGAGCCTGCTGATCATGATTGATGCATGATTTACTATCAGGGATATTGGTTCTGTGACATTAAAGGCAAGCCCCGGTAATCTATGACACATAAATTATTCATGACGCTATTATCTGCGTTTTGAATGTCAAGGGTGATGTCTTCGCAACAGATGAAATTCATGTACTGCACGTCGTCGGCGTTGTCACATCTCAAGAACAGTCTAAGGCAGGATATAGTCTACAGGTAGAGACTCTCACTTGGTACTTTCTATGCTCAGCAACTTTGAGGCAAGCTGAAACCATGGAGATATTCTTATATCTCCATGCTGAAACCATTGAGTACATACAATATACATGTACATTGTAGATAAAGTTGAGTTCTGGTCATGTGATTGCATTGTGAAAGAAACAGTGTGGAATTGGTCAAAAAATGTTGATCATCTAGCATATACATGTAAGTATTGGTGTGTACTGCAAGGTTCGGGAATCATCAAAATTATAAGAAATTTGGCCCAGTCTTGGTAAAGTTACAAGCACTGTACACTTGGGACTACACGAACATGTGGCATAAAAATCTGTCCTGATTTGTATGATGTCACATGCCCGCATATTTTCAGGGAACATTTTATATCTGATGTTCTTCCACACTTGCATGATACAATGGTAATGCTCACAAATTATTATTTTTCACCTCTGCCCAGAACTCAACCTTCTCTTTAAATCTAAGACCATTGAGAGCCTGTTTAAACATTCATACGCATCAACTTGTTTTTCAGAAGAGGACAGATATTAAGTGTACTGTACAATTCTTGTACTAATGTACATGTAGATGACATTCACACGGCAAAGTTGACATTGATTCAGTACGAACGGATCATATGAAAAAATGCCAACTAAATAAAGTTCCTCATTATCAAGTCCCTCAGAGAAGATTTAAAGTCATCAGTCCCCTGGTTGCTTATTACGTACAAGCATACACATGCTTTCCTAACAGTCGGGTATTAAAAATAAAAACAAACCATCAAATAAAAAATATCTGCATACATTATAATGATATAATTTTTTTCAGAATGAAACCCCAGAAATTTCCTGTAAATATGGATTTGTTCAGATTATTTTAGTGGACTTTTCAAAGCAGCAAATTAATCCTCCATTCTTTAACAGTACTTTTAATCTTTATTCGAGGAAGGGAAATTCATTAGCACAATTTCAAGAGATTACAACTTCAGCCTTTTTTCAATGACAAATGACAAAAATCAGTGACAAATCTACTTATAACCGATCAGAAGCAAGGATTTCACTAGCTTATAACAAAAACTGTCACTGATGCATGATGACAGGTTTTTTGAAACACCCACTAGGACTAGTTCATATATTAAGTGTAGAGTTGTTATTTTCAAGTTGAAAGAAATGATTGTTTTAGAATGGCTCCTCTCTACTTGACAGGGGCTGTTATAAGTGCTGTATATGTTGGCCTCCTGAGGCATGTATGGTATGTGAATAGGGGGATGCTCTATTTATTTGATCTGAAACGTCATTGATAGGAGATACAGACCGGGTTTGACTGTACTTTATCTCATTCCTCCTCCTCTCCCTTACTCTCCTATTCATCCCATTTGCTCTGCTCTCTCCTCAAAACCCCTTCTGTTACCAGCCCCCACCCTGACCCTATCCCTCTCTCTCTCTCTCTCTCTCTCTCTCTCTCATCATCCTCCTTCTCTAGCTGCTCCACCCCATTTCCGCCCCTCTCCTCCTGACCCCCTTCTTTCTTTCTCTCACTTACTTTCTCTCTCCCTCCTCTTTCTCATCCTTATTCCATTTCCCCCTCTCTAGTCTTACCTCTATGCCCCCCTCTCTCTCTCTCTCTCTCTCTCTCTTTCTTTCTCTTTCTTTGTCTCTCTCTCTCTCTGTCTCTCTCTCTGTCTGTCTGTCTGTCTCTGTCTCTGTCTCTCTCTCTCTCTTTTTCTCTCCCTCCTCTTCCTCATCCCCATCTCCATCTCACCCATCCCTCTCTGGTCTTACCTCGATGTCCCCCACCTTCTCTCTGCCCCCCTTTCACTCTCTCTATCTCCCTCCTTCCCTCTCTCCCTCTTTCCCTCTCTCCCTCTTTCCCTCTCCCCCTCTCTCCCTCTCTCCCTCTTCCCCTCTCTCCCTCTTTCCCTCTCCCCCTCTCTCCCTCTTTCCCTCTCCCCGTCTCTCCCTCTTTCCCTCTCCCCCTCTCTCCCTCTTTCCCTCTCCCCCTCTCTCCCTCTTTCCCTCTCCCCCTCTTCATCTACACACTGTGTATTCCCCTCCTTCTCCCTTCTCCCCCCCCCCCCCCCCTCTCTCTCTCTCTCTCTCACCCTCCCTCTCCCCCACATTTCCACCCTCACTCTCTCATCGCTACGTGAACACATATAACATTGACCCAACTGTCATGAGCACCTTTAAAGCAGGTGATTTTGACATCGTGAGGAAACCAAGCAACAACTCGTACAAAATATACATGTAGCTCATTAAGTGATAGATATTGAGATACCGGTATGTTGGTCATGCCATCAGAAAAACCAGGCTGATTACCAGTATTAACAAAAGCAGATAGATCCTTTAATATACCAGTGAAAGCATGCAATGCATCATTTGTATTACGGTATAGAAGGAGTCTCCTAGAATCTTGTTATTTGATATAAAAGAATTCATTTCAATAAATCCCAGGTTTAATGGGCATACTTACAATTGTAAGCCTGCACAAAGAGGTAAGCGCACTTACAAATGTACTTCTATATATGCTTTTACGCGCAGTGCTACGCAAGTATAGGCCCACACACAGTATAAGCGCACCTCTACACTCACTTCTGTGTGTCATTACTTAAAATTTGTTGGATACATGTATTACCGGTACTAAAAATTACTACATGTGTAGCACGCTTTTTCATGAAAAAACATGGGATAGTCTCCGTAAATGCATCACACGTGACTCAACCGATCATTTGATTAGGGTCTAAGAGTGAGATTTATAATAAGTTTAAATATATGCTACCTGTGCAGAACTTCTTGCTTGATGCTTGTACATACAATGTACATGTACATTTTATAGATGCCTGCACAATCATACAGTGTACAGACTCATCTATTGTGTGAACATTGAGCAGTCTGCTTCATTGTATAAGCAGATGAATATGTATTAAGGATAATGGATATTGCCGTCATGCTTACAATTTGTTAAACCTTTGAAGTGCATTTATCCAGAAGATGGCAGAATCAGTAGACAATGAAAGCACTCATTTTCACTTCTTTGAAAAAAGGGGAAAAAAACAAGATTCATGACAGGTCTGCCCCTATTTAACGTGCAAATTTACACCATGTACTGTACAGTATGGTAGAGATTGCTCATTTTAAGTGCACACCAACAAAACTGAGGAGAAATAGTTAATAGTGCATTCGAGCTTGTTCGGTATGTACAGTTGTACATGTACATTGTAAACTGTATTTGCACGTGTACTTAAAGTATCACAGATTTATACATGGACATGCGTAAAGGTGTTGTGGTCTAGTGGGTACATCACCGGGTTGTGGATCACATGGTTCACGGTTCAAGTCCCACCGCAGGGCTAATGTCCCTTGGCAAGACATTAATCTGCATATCTATGCTACTCTCCACCCACGTACATGTTAATGGGTACCTGGTAGGAATTTATACCTTGAATGGTTTCAGCGCCTTAGGGCAGCTGGGCTAAAGCAAGGGTATTAATACTACTTTGTACATGTACAGGTGTACATGTAGGTGCCTCGAGCATCCCCTGGGATGGATATGTGCGCAATATGATATAAATGTAGCTATCATTATCATTTTTATATCATATTGTTCTTTGCGCTGAAATCATTTATTAATACAAGTTGAAATAGAAACTCTACCACTGTGATTCATTTCCAATTTAGTCCCTTATCGAAACAATAAGATGGCCAATGACCAACCATGAGATAAATTGTAAAAAATTCATTATGATTTTAATGGTTTGGGTTAAGCCTTGAAAAATGCAACAAAATTTTGAACATTTTGGACAGAAAACAGGAGTTGAAATTTGCTAAAGCCCAATTTGTATTATTTACAAGGGTATACATGATACATCTATATAATTTGTAAAAAGTGTAAATTGTAGTTATTAATGTTTTTGTATTTTTTATAACAGTGTGCAGGCACAAGCCTTTCAAACATTTTACAAACTGTGATCTGTAGACTGGATATTTATACTCTCCTTTCCTAGTAGAAGATACCCTGGTTTCTGGGAAAATAAAATTACAGGAAAAAAAGAAAGATTTTGGCTCTGCTTTTGATTTGATTTTTTTTTTCTTCTTCAATCCCTCTAAATTGCTTGGCTTATGCTGTACCTTCTCCGCTCTGTAAATCAACCTTTTTAGGAATGAAGTTTGAAATTGGATTCTTCCCGGATGCAAGTTTTTTCCCAATCAATATTTATTAAATTGATGTTATCATATAATACGGCTTCTTCCTCAAGCTCAGCTCAAATAGCATCGTATATAGTGTACCATCTCTTCCCTCTACCCCCCCCCCCTCCTTCCCAATCAGCCATGTGAATGATTTGATTTACTGTGCATTAACGGCTATAGTTTGTGTTACAAGGCCTGTAGTAGCCTATAATCTAGGCGGAGTGCCGAGCTTTTTTCTTTGCTGCTAGACTAACCCTAAGCAGAACGTCTGATACGGCGAGACTACGAACCGTGAGTCGCGAAGCGGCTCACCGCCTATAATCACTGGTCTAGCTAATCAATATTCATATATATTCAAAATGGCGGATCTATGAATCATTCAACAGCCCTACCAAAGAATCCGTGGTCGCGTAGAAAATCACAGCACAAGGGGATTGCTTGGTATATTGCACTCTTTCCAAAACCAGTAGGTAATGCAACAAAAATATCCCTGCCGGCTTCAATAACCCTACGAATAGCGGATTCCTGCAGTTCTCTGAATTTTCCATTAGGAATGCCTAGTTTGTTGGCCGCATATGATAAACTTTCTCGCAGAAGATCGTCGTCGCATGAACTACCCGCCATCTTGGATGAAGAAAATGACGTAATGTCACGTGATTTATAATATGCATATGCATAGACTCTTCTCCATACGTGTTTCTGATTGGTTGAGTTCATTTCGTATTCATGAGGTTTTTTCGTACGAAAAACTGCCACGGATTCACGGTCGATAATAAAAAAAACAACGACTAAAGCTAGACCAGTGATTATAGGCGGTGAGCCGCTTCGCGGCTCACGGTTCGTAGTCTCGCCGTATCAGACGTTCTGCTTAAGGTTAGTCTAGCAGCAAAGAAAAAAGCTCGGCACTCCGCCTAGATTATAGGCTAGGCCTGTAGGGGTAGAGCTTGTATAGATTGATAATTGCCATATTTGAAATTTATGCAAGACTCGGCTACCTGTGCAAATGCAATCATATACAAAATTTCCATTAGACCATATTTTAACTAATAGTCTATCAAGTTCTAACATATAATGTACATGTACATGTAGATTTATAGTAAACTGTGAGAAATAGTGACCATATTGTAAAGGAAAACATTTTATTATGCAGATTAATAAGAGGATAAGTATAAATAAAAACTTACCATATGGCCACCGAGAAGTTTGTATGAACATATTGCTATATTGTTTGAGAGACCTAATGAATTTGTAGGTCAAAGGTCTTGATTAATTTATCTTTAATTATTATTTTGTTTATATTTTATCTTTCCCTCTCTTTCCCCCTCTCTCTCTCTCTCTCTCTTTCCATTTGTCATTTTTGGCCAATGTCTGTGTATCTCTTCCTCTATTTCTCTTTTTCTTTCTCTCTTCCTCTCCACCCCTCCCCTCTCCCGCTCCCCTCTCCCTCTCCCATCTCCCTCCTACTCTATCACCCCCTCTATCTCCTCTCTCTATTTCTTTCTCTCTACTACAGGAGGTGAAGGCAGACTACCCCGGAGGTTTGTAGCTAGCCTGATGGCTCATCTGTTTCTATGCACGCTCCCCAATCCATCCAGCCTCTCGCTCAATCTAACTCACTTTGCTAGCTTCTTTGGAGTTTTGAACATGTAAGTATAATCTCTTAAAGCCCATCTGTACTAGTTTGGCTAGGAGGGATTAGACCACCCAGGAAGGTCACTGACAGGTGGCTATCTCATCAACTCAGCTCTCAATTAACATTAGAAAAAGTGGATCATGGGAGACGAATGGTCATCGATTAGGCATTGTTTTTTATGTAGAGGGAGCAAGTAGCTACAAGTAGTACAGTGGGCCTTTAAATTAAATAACTTTATGCTAACAGCACCGGTTAACCCATTGCCTATGTGAACCAGGTGATTCATGTACTAAGCCTATGGGAAGTAGATTCGTCGCTGTTTTCACGAAGTGACGGTAGTGAAAAAAAATTGCATTCACTTTGCGTTACGATTTTCCTCACTACCGTCACTTCGTGAAAATAGGGACAAATTCAGTAGTCAAGGGGTCTTAAAGCACTTGACTTTTGACAAAAGAAGTTGAGAATTTGAATCTGCCTGATTAGACAAGGTATTTTATCTATAGTGCCTCTATCTACCCAGGTGATTTATTCCTTCATGTTCAAAAGTCAACCTGCCAACAAATAGAAATGCATGGCATTATTTGGCCTGATTCGACTCTGTTATAGTAATGCACTTTATATTATGCCTTACACAAATGTTTAGTGGCCCATTCCTACGAGTAGGTGCATTCTAGTAAAGTTAGTGAAATATATTTCTCCGGTTTTAGTTACAGTGTGATTTTGAAAATAAGTGTTTGATCCGGAGGTTGCTATTAACCCTTTCGGTGTCCTGGGCAGACACATCCTGTTTTAACTCAATTGAAATATATGTGGAGTCTTGGACTTAAGAGGGTTTGTTTAGCTAATTTTGGTTATGGGTCAATTCATATTAATTGTCAATCTGATGAAACACATACTAGTATGTTGAATGAAAATTATCAAAAAGGGACCTTGTTTAAGAACTGAATCATGATGTCTGATAGAAGTTATAAATTTTGTGACAAATTAAGTGAGTAAACATCAACCTCTTGTTGCATTGACGGTACTGTACAGGTCAAAGGGTGAAGATTCTCAGACTGCTAAGCTACGATGCATCCTGAACTACTTCAATCGTCTAGCAACCGACTCTGTATCCAGCGGGCCTCTAGGGAGCATTACATTCACTAGAAAGGTTGGTTATCATCCATCCTCCTTGATCATGATGATGATTATTATGACAGTGGTGGTGGTGGTGGTGGTGTTGATGTAGTTGGTGATAAATATGATGGTGATGTGATGGTGATGGTGATAGTGGTGGTAGTTGTGGTAATAGTGGTGGTGGTAATGACGGTGGTGGTGGTGGTAATGATGATGATAGTGGCAGTGGTGGTGGTGGTGGTGGTAGTGGTGGTGGTGGTGGTGGTGGTGGTGGTGGTGGTGGTGGTGGTGGTGATATGATGACGATGAAGGTGATGGTGGGGGTGGTGGTGATAGTGATGCCTGATGAGTGGAGAGAAGCAAGGGACATTAAATGCCTTGCTAGAGGACATACAGTATACAATAATGTAAAAACCATTTGAACCCATTACCTTTGCATTCCTGTTCAAGAAGATGAGGAAGTTTGCTCAAATTCTAGGAATACAGACAGGAAGCCCTGGGAATATGAATGATTCACCAGGAAGCTGAGGATTATGGCAAGATATTTACCCAATATTGCAGTGTTAGGGATATCAACAGTGATTTCCGATTGATACAGAGCCGGAAGTGTTTATTCTTGCTGGGAGATAAAAAGCATTTACATTTAACAAAAATTATACAAAAATTCAATATTTTGTAGTGATCACTTAAAGAAACTTTGCTCAAAAAGTATGCATAACATTTGAAACGTTAGTAAACCAGTCTAATGAAGCCATTGCTTGGTGTGATTATACTAAATACTCTATGTGCTGTGGCCGGTTACATCGTAATCGATGAGGCACTATAATTTCAACAGGTACCACCATTGTCATTGTTATCTCCTCCACATTCCTTCAGGTACTACCAAGAGACGAGGTGCCGATGTTGGAGACGTGGAAGGACAGCCGACTCCAACTCTGCCCTCTAGTGGTCCGACCTGAAGGCTTGATTGAGGAGGCAGGAAGTAGCACGCTCCAGGTCAGTCTACATTGTATTGATGAGAGGTTATCATGATGTGACCTTTGAACCAAGAGAAAGAAGGACATGATAAAATGTTAACTCTGCAGGATGATAAAGTTTTATTTTGGTGTCGAACCTCAAATGTGCTGTTGGACACGCAGATGAATGAAATTGTCCCCCCCCCCCCCCAAAAAAAAAAAAAAAAAACAACAACAACAACAACAACACACACATACAGAGCCTGTTGTCTGCATGCACAGTGGAAACCTTTTTCAATTTCTAATTCCAATGCTAGTTCATGGCATCAATGTATTAATTAAATTTTTAATTGTTCAAAAATAATTTAGATTTTCTCCTTTGTCTGATTCTCTGCTTTTGATCAAAACAACTTGTTTTGGTAGACTTACTCACAAATGTTCATTAGTTGATCTGATGATTTATCAGTTAGCTGGCAAGTTTGGCAACACTGTTGTGATTTTATTCTGAATACATTCCTGTAAAAATGTCTTTTTCATTCTGCTAATGAATCCATCGGCCGTAGAGTCTTAAGCTCCTGGTGTGTCCTGGGGGGTGTTTCATAAAGCTGTTTGTAAGGTACGCATGACTTTACAAATGAGTTATATATGAAAAGCCAAATGGGATGCTCAATCATCTTTAACTGCATCAACTTAAGTTGAACTGTGCAGATGTAGATTAACATTCTTATTATAACAAACATTTTTAATGCAAAGTATATTTTTTCCGTAATTTCATTGAGGTTATTGGAAACATCAGAAAAAAATTTGGGCATCCTATCTGGCATTTCATATTCAAGTCGTTCGTAAAGTCATGCGTAACTTTACGAACAGCTTTATGAAACACCCCCCAGGAAGTGATCTGTTTCTTCCCTGCAACTGTCCTCTCAATTGCTAGAGTCTAACACTTCCTCAAACAGTTACATTGATTTTATTAAGCTATATTCCTTATCAAACACTATTCTTGTCCTATAACCTTAGGTTGACTTTGCCAATGAGTACATTGGCGGTGAGTCCTAGGCTCTGGGTGTGTCCAGGAAGAGATCCGTTTCTGCATCTGCCCTATCAGTCGACCTAGAGTCTAACACATCCTCACACAGTAACATTGATTTTATTATGATTTTTAATCAAACACTATTCATGTCGTTTATCTGTAGGTTGACTTTGCCAATGAGTACATTGGCGGTGGAGTCCTAGGTTCTAGGTGCGTCCAGAAAGAGATCCGTTTCTGCATCTGCCCTATCAGTCGACCTAGAGTCTAACACATTCTCACACAGTAACATTGATTTTATTATGCTATATTTTTATTACATTCCTCATTAAACACTTTACCTTTTTTGTAACTGTAGGTTGACTTTGCCAATGAGTACATCGGCGGTGGAGTCCTAGGCTCTGGATGCGTCCAGGAGGAGATCCGTTTCTGCATCTGCCCGGAGCTCCTGGTAAGCCTGATCTTCATGGAGAGCATGGAGGAGAATGAAGCTATCTCGATCAGCGGCTTTGAGCAGTTCTCGTCCTACACCGGCTACGGATGGGGGCTGAGATACACAGGGGACTTTAGAGATGGTGCACAGGTGAGCTGCTTGGAAATGAAAGTTATAAGTGGTAGTGGTAGCGATGGTGGTAGTGGAAGCGATGGTGGTAGTGGTAATGGTAGTGGCGTCAAGCAGTTCTCGTCCTACACGGGTTACGGATTAGACTTAGATACGCAGGGGACTTTAGAGATGGTGCACACTGCACAGGTAAGCTTCTTGGAAATGTTGTTTATTTTATAAGAAGTAGTGGCAATGGTAGCAATGGTGGTAGTGGTTGTAGTGGTAGTAGTTGTATTGGTAGTGGTAGTGGCTTTGGGTAGTTCTCATTCTATACGGGCTATGGATGGGGACTGAGATACGCAGGGGACTTTAGAGATGGTGCACTGGTGAGCTTCTTAGAAATGACGATTTAAGTAGCAGTGGTAGTGTTGGTAGTGATGTACTAGTGGTAATAGTGGAGGTAATGGTAGCAATGTTGGTAGTGGTAGTGAAATTGCTTGTTGTACAGTAGTTGTAGTGGTTGTAGTAGCGGCTTTGAAAATTTCTCTGCTTATAAAGGCTACAGATGGAGACTGAGATACACAGGAGACTATGTAGATAATGCACAGTCAGGTGATGTTCTGTGATGTCATCGTCACTTTAGGATATCATATTCAGGCTTCTGAATAGGAACTGTATGAAATTGTCATGTAATTCAATGACAGCTGTTCTTGCCTTCAGAAACTTCAATGTTCACAAATATCTACCCCTTGCTGTATAGCTTATGTGTCATGCTCGGGAAAGTTTATGGTTTTTACAGTAGTCATCCTCCTCGACCTCTCTTCAAGGTATAGACCAGTTTTGGAAATGCCCCCCTCTCAGAAAATGAAATGGAAGCTCTGATTACCAATCATGTGAAAGAATATCATCAATAGTGATCTGTCAGTTCATGACAGGTTCAGTGACCCAATCAAAATTTTATATCAAGTGTTTCTCCAAGTTCCACGGTCTTGAGCCATCCGTTTCAGCATTTCATACCCTGTTGCTCCACATTCTGTGATTACATCGTCTAGAAAGCCTTTACGAGGTCTTCCCCTCTTCTTCTTTCCATGAATACGACCTTCTATGTCATATTCATGGAAAGAATATATATTCTATGAAAGAATATGTTTTGACTATTAAAACATGATACAAATTTTGCCGGGAAACCGCCTACTAATTGATATATTTGGTAAAGTATCATATCTATCCAGTCTGGATAGATATCGCATAGTCCCATATACATCTTTCTGTGTACAGTGCTTGTAACTTGACCAAGACTGGGCAAAAATTCTTATCATTTTAATTATTCCAGAACCTTGTAGTACACACCAATACTTATATGCTAGATGATCAACCTTTTCTGATGGATTCCACACCGTTTCTTTCACAATGCAATCGCATGACTAGAACTGGTCTATACCTTTAACTCTCTTATCAATACTTGCTACAAAACCAAACAAAATCTCCACTCCCTCCCACCCACAGATCACTAGCAGTGGGGACATCAAGACATCTCTTGTGGCCATCGACGCATCCTGCAATCCCGGAGACACCCAGTACAGGGACCCGACCCTCCTGAGGGAACTCAACAAGGCCTACGTGGGCTTCCTGCAGACGGAGCTGTCCTTGAGCAATCAGATGGCTGGAGAGGGGCTCAGTGAGAGCATCTATCTCGATGCCATGGACCAGTCGCAGATGTCAACTGAAGGGGACTTTGAGACGGCCTCCGAAGGCCTTGACAGCCTGAGCCATCCGAGTAAGTGCAATGATTTTTGTTTGTGGCATTTTAAAATTTTGATGGATTCTGTAGTGTCAATCATGCAGTGGCGATCCAAACATAGGAGGGGCTAAATGACACCCCCCCCCCCCCCCTTACGGTTGTAGATTTTAAGGGAACTTTCATCTGCCTCAACATGTATGGTATGTTGAATTTTTGTAGCAGAGAAATGAGTTTTAATTAGGTAAATTAAGAAATTCTGCTATTAGGCCAATTTTGTAATATGTATCTCCTTCAAGGTTCATGTTAGGCTTTATTCAACTACAATATGTAGCACTTTAAATTATGGAATGTTTCATTTGTTTTGCTTTTTTTTTCTTCTTCAGGATCCGTAACACCCTCCATCTCAACCATATCAGACTACAGCAACTCTCTGAGCAGAGCAATCACTGACATCGCAGTCAAGGACTACTGCCAGGGCAAGCGTGATCAGGCAACCCAAAGTGAGCCCTCTCTTGACCTAGAAATCACGGAAAAGGGTGATGCGGGATGCCGCCATGAGGGCTTGAACAGCTTTGCTTCTTCGATTGCCGGTGATGCAGTGAGGGAGGGATACGTGCATGCCTCCAAGAGATCTGCATCAAAGAGAGCGGAGCCTGCTAAATGTCGACGTGGACAATCTGTTGAAGATACTGCTGAAGATATCATAACAGATGCCATCGACTCTCGCCAAGGTGATGGGCAGTCTCATGAGCATGTTATATGGAAGAACGGCCATGGCTATCCTGATGGGAATAGAGACGGTATCGCTCAGGATCTTAGTGCAATCATTGACGACATCGTTGGTGTCGTCATCAAGGAAGCCCTTGCGGAGATCGCTGGGATGTGCGTGTCTGAAACGAGCAGCCACCGAGGCCCAAGCTTGGAAGGCTACAGTGTGATATCCACATGGTCATCGTCCAAGTCGGACAGCTTTGTCCGGATTGACATGGACAGTGACTTCAGCGCTAGTGGCACTCGAAGCGTAGGCAGTCTGTCGAGTGTTGGCTCTGAGAAGGTTGGCATGACTGTTGAGGCATACGTGTCTAATGTTGTAGCAGGGGCTGTGCAAAAGATGAAGAAGGGGGAGGTCGATACGGAAGGACAAAGAACTCGAAATGGGGGACAGAGTGTATCAGGATCTGATATTAAGACTGTTGCAGAAAGTATAGTTGGCGGGGTAATGGAGGATGTCAAGAAAAGGTTTCAAAAGGATGAGGAGGATGGGATGAGAAACTCCTACTTCAGACCGGTAGTGTCAGCAGGACTTGATGCTTTTGCTACAAGTGTCACTGACTCTGCTGTTAAGGATGCTATCAAAGAGTTTTCTGCATCAGATCAAGGGTTTCTGTACTCGCAATACTCGACCATTCCATCCACCCCTCCTCCGTCCCCTTCCAATGCATCCACAGGGAGCTCTAAGCGATTCAGTCTAGAGGATCCTTCGCAGTTGGAGGAGTTTGCTGAAAAGCTCCTCAACTCTATTACCCCTTCTTCAAGACATCACAGCACCAGAGGATGTGACGGGGAGGTTGGTTATTCAAGGTTCCAGGAGATTGAAAGCTTTGCCAGCAGCCTGGTATCCAGGGCAGTCACTGATTCTACCCAGATAGTCAGCTCATGTGGTTTGTTTAGAAGAGAGAGTAGTTCAGGCTGCATCAGTTCCAGAAGTTCCTTGACGGTCCCTTCAGGCAGTTCCAAGCGATCCAGTATGGACAGCTTCACAGAGGATCTCCTGCGTATCGGAAACATTGACCCCACTGGGAGGAGGCCAAGCAAGACGGAAGAGAACATAGCCTACTTTTCTCAAGAACTGACTCGTGTTGCAGAAGTGGAAGAGAAATTGGGTCAGAGAAGAAAGTCAGACCTGGAAGATTTCCAGCAAGAACTGTGCCAAAGTTCTATATTAGGTAACGTTTCTCATAAGAATGAACCTACCCAGTCCAAAATTCATGCTGCCAGCCGACTTGCCAACCGACTATCTGATGACATCATCTGCGATGCCTTCTTGCAGCTATACGGTGCGACTCCTTTCCGAGAACTCATACGCCTGGACTCTCTGTCAGACCTTGATTCTGGTGGAGGGAATAGGCGAAGGAGCTACCCCCGCCGTGGCTTCAGAACATCATCAGTATCCTCCTGTTCCCTTTCGGTCAGGAGTACCATCTCTGAAATGGATCTGGTCACCCTAGCCTCCAACCTGGCCAACTCGATCATTGAATCAGCGCTGCAGACATACAAGGACGAATACCTGACAGCACAGCGACTAGCAGCTGAGAGCATCACTGAGGACAGTCAGCTTCAGGACACGATGGACGAAGCCTCCATCTTGGCCACCTACGATGGCTCCAACCTTGATCGCCAGGAGACAGCGTGTACAAGTCTCGCAGGAGAACTGCCGCCTGTACTCTCCATCCACGAGACGGCCGGGTGCATCGTAGAGAAGGCTGTCCAAGATGCAGTAGTCATGTACCAGGCTTCCTTATCGAGCACCGCAAGGGTCGCTAGGCACCCCGTGGGGACTCCTGCCAGGAGGCCTATAGCTACGGGAAACTGGGGATGCGGTGTGTTTGGTGGTGACCCGCAGCTCAAGTCTCTCCTCCAGTGGGTGGCTGCGTCACAGTGCAGGGCGCCATCATTGTTCTACTACAGCTTCAACGATGAAAGAGTTCGGCAGGTGAGATGTTTTTATAAATAAATGTAAGTTTGACCTGTAAGCCGTGAACTACCGTGCCAGAGCCTGTGTGGAGCACTGGATGGGACTTGTGTAGTGACTCGATATGAAGTGACTCGATATGAAGAAGAAGAAGAAGTTTGATGAATATAAAAGGCTTGGAGAAATCAAAACAGTCAAAAGCTCATTAGCTCATTTGATACAAGTACATGTAAACTTTTTGTGACAAAAAAAAGACCTCTTAAGTTACATCGCCAATCAGATAAACTTCTTCAGCATGTTATTAAAGCAGATTCATTGTTTATTGTTTAGTCAAATTTAATTACTTTTCATTTGCTGTTTTCTTTATATATATATGTATATATATATATATATGTTTTTGAATGCTTGTTTATATGATTGTATGTTTGATGTAAACTTGCACTTTTAGTCTTTGGACTTTTTGACAAGTCTGGAATAAAACCTCATTTTTAATTTGAATTTGAATTTGAATATGAATGTACAGAACTTACAAAGAAGGCACGGTTAAAATTGCTGTAATGCTACATTCACAGCATTTTAATATTTTGAAAGGAGAAATTTCAATTGTTGATTAGTTTCCCTTCAGATCGTGCTGTCCATAACATTTAATTTTTGTGTGTGTGTTATTTCATTTCATATCTTTACAAGTCCCTTTACGTATGCGCTTTTTATTTTCCACTTTCCTCCAGCTTGAACAGGTAACACTGAAGATCCAAACCAAGCGTTGGAGCGTCGGCGACCTTATGCGCATCGTCCATGAATACTGCCATCTGGTGACAACGTCTTCGGAGCAGTCGGGACACGGCCTCTTTGACTACATCTTGGGTTTGCAATGTTGATTGATTGATATGCGTGTGATGTCGTGAATATACGTCCTTTTTCTTCCTCTCTCTCTCGTGTGATATATAAAACGCAATGATTTTCTTGATTATACACCAACTAAGCAATCACTACTTAATTTTTTTTTTCATGGAATGAATTCGCAACATTTTATTACTATGAAACTATTGTAATGTGGAGTGATTGTGTAATGTGTATGAATAATCAAGATGCAACACTTGGTTGTAATTCTGCAGAATGATGTGTTTTTTATACTACTTGCCGTAACGGGATTACGTATAGTTACGTAATCTTTTGTTCGCAAACTTCTATATGGTATTTACATGTATGTGAATGTAAATTGCAAAGGGAGTAAAGTTATTTGAAAAATGTCAATACCAGTTTGTTGTTAGCACATGGTACAAATGACCATCAATATAACAGATCTTTTACACATGAACAAGTCTTACTTTGTTAATTTTGAAATTGTCACTCCAAGCTTGATGGAGGTGATACATAAATCAATGATTTGTTTCCCATTTTTTTTTTTAAAGGAAACTTCCATTTTTGTACCATGGACTGTAATGTAGGTGCATAAATAAATAATTAATTAATTCCTTAAGCCTGTTTCCTGTATCTTTCCTGGGTGGCTTTTGCTAGTAGTCACAAATGTCCTTTATCTGCTCATGCGCAAATATAACAGAGTCCCTACGGTCATGGAAAAAACCCGGAAAATCGTGGGTAAATTCTTCTGGAAAGTCGTGGAAAATGAAGGAAAAAAAGTCTCCCAAACACAGATACAACACAGATGAATACATTTTCTATTGAAATGTAATTCATGGAGAAAAGGTCTGCAATAGCATAATGCAAAACATTACCACGGCAAAGCATTTCATCATCATGGATTCTCTCTACCCAGGAATGGAAAGGATTATGGAGTTATCACCTGAAGTGTATTCCACACGTCGTGTGTCCAGACAGGTTGGTTATCTGAACAGTTGATTTAAAGCAGTAATTTGAAGAAATTTGTTGCGGCAGTTGACTGCGTCATATCTGAATGAACCTTTAATGTACATGCACCACACTTTACAAAGTAAAATATACATATGTGTGTGGTCTAACTGCAGCTAAACAAATTTAAAACATTTCCTTCTACTGTAATTAACGGTGTATAAACCGCCGTCGTGTATTAACCGCACCCCTCTCTTTCGCCCTGTCGGCAGCAAGCCAGGTCCCTGTTAAAAAACCCACGCGGGAAGGTCTTTCATTTAACTGCAAGGTGCAGCTGAATGTGTAAGATCATTAATGTAAATTAAAAAACAGTAGCGGACCTAGGATAGAACCTTGTGGTACACCATGTAATAGAAGAAAAATTGGAGGAATTATTATTATAAACTACATATTGAGATCTATCAGAAAGATTACTTTCAAACCAAGATGACAGACAAATTTGAGTGTTGTTCTAGTTTCCAAGTGGTGAATCAACACACCAATTTTTTTTTTTTTTTTTTTTTTTTTTTTTTTTGTGCACTGTGTATAAGCCGCACCCCCGACTTTGAATTTTTTTCGACAGCAAAAAGGTGCGGTTAATACACCGTTAATTACGGCATACAATAGAATTAATGTTACCGGATGTATTCCTTGCCATACTGAAGTGCTATATCACCAACTGCTACAAAATGTCGCTAGATAAAATATGAAGCTTTGGGTAAATGCTGTGTGTTAAAGTGTATTTACATTGATGTGATGACTGGTGAGATGGTATAGCGCCATCTTGTGATGAAGTTTTTTCACGGGTTTGGCTGAGTGGTCTTTGGGAAACCATTGATGTCTATTGAGAATTGAATAGTCCACTGATGTATGTGTGTTTGTGTGACCAGGTGAAGCATCCCCGGTCCATCTGAGAAGGTCATGTATAGTATTTACTTAGATGGTGTAGCGCCATCATGTGGTAGAGTTTTGCCATGGCATAGGGCTGTGTAGTCTATGATAATCGACTGAAGCCATTGATCTCTATATGAATGGATAGGGCACAGGCTCATGCAGGTGAAGCAATCGCAATCCAGTGAGTAGGCCATGTATGGTATTCCATTGAAATACATGGTATAGCGCCATCTTGTGGTAAAGTTTGGTGATGGGATTTGTTGATTGGTGTCTGGTAATGACAATAAAATGTTTTCTTATATAGGATTAGTGCTCTTACACAATTGGTTTCACAGCGCTTTACAAGGTATGGAGGTGGGAAAGTCAGATAAATAAAGTGCTTTTTAAAGGTGTCTGGTGTGGGTGCTGTACGGATAATTACTTGAAACCATTGATCACTATTAAGAATGGAGTAGTCCCCTGATCTATATTTTGTTTTTATGAACTGGTAAAGCAATTTACAATCCATTTGAATGAGGATAAGGATTAGAATAATATAGATCTACATGTACATGTAGATTCTGATCATGTAGTGGAATACAGACAAAAAATCCTCGCCCAAATTTCTCTGAAAGAAATTTAAATGGTAATATTAAAAAAAAAATGATAGTGTTCATGTCTGTCAGACTTGACACTCCTAGCGCTCCACAATTATTACCCTGATATAAGCATGGCTGCCATTATGGTGCCCTAGCCATGCCAGGTACCCATTTACTTCACCTGGGTTGAGAGTGTCAAATGTAGATTAATACCTTGCCAAAGGACATCGGTGTCGCTGCAGGACTCGAACCGCAAAGCACTCGATCAAAAGTCCGGTGAAGAATCCGTGAGCCCACGATACCTCCACAAGGGCATCATCTTCATGCACCAATAAACTTGTTTGTTGTAAAGATATCATTTGTTGAAACCTACAGTATACCGTACAAAATGACATGGTTTAATATGATGGTGGCGTCTGATATATAGCGCGCATGTCCATCATACTGTGCCGGAGAATGGCAAATGTGGATCAATGTTTCACAAAACGGCGTTAAAGTGCAGGGCTTGGATTTGAACCCTCAAACCTCGGATTGGGAGTCAAATGATTGAACCACTATACCATGACACCTCCACATGCAGTGCGTATCTTTTTTATCGAAATGCATATAATTTTAGTTGATTAATTACTCATTTCTATTCCCTTTGAACCTTTGTAAAGATTATGCTATCTACAGCAGTATTCAAGGCAATGTCTACTCTAGCAAGGTCTTCTGTATTATTATGATTATTATAATTCTCTATGCAAAAATAAGAATTATATTATAATACTTTATTAGAAGAGGAATGTAAATATGTATTTCCATAAATAAAAATTTAAAAATCAGATCATGATGTGAATTTAATCTCATTTCGATCACATAAGTCAAATCTCAACTACCAAACAGGACAAATGATTCTGTAATATTCTGAAATACATACATTTTAATATCTTTTCTATCTCAATTCTATAATTCTACTCACAGTTGTTATACGGGTCGTGAAACTTCAGCATTGTTAGTTATTAAGGTTGGATACTCTTAAGAGGTGCTGGCTCAAATTTACCAATTTTGCTATATTGGATGTGCTCTGGTAATTTTAAGATCCATGTTTATTCATGATGGCTAAATAAATAAACTATTATATATATTTTCATTTATAAATGGTAAATAATATATATATGACTTAAATGTTATTTACTTGTAGGTGTTATACGTACCAGTATACATGTACCTGCTTATATGTGAGTTTCATTCTGAGAGATTTACCAGAAATATTTTCAAGTTTTATAATCTCTCAAAAATTATTTCTATCTGCATGTATAGAACATGTATTTCCAATTTCCCGTTGTTTAAAACGATTTTCTTTTATAGGTGTAAAACAAATACTTTGTATAAGACATTCAGTTGCCTCCAGTTGCACCCTAATCTAGCATATTATCCGTAGGCTATGTTTTGACATACATAAAATTAAAAGACATGGTATTATATGAAAGATCGAAAAGGAAATCTCTGGTTTCAAACATAAATTAGTCATCATAATATATCATAATGATAATCATTTCTGTGTTTGATGACAGAGTTCAGTTTTTCGGTGTGTGAGTGTTTAAGATGTATTTTCTGTACCTCAAATATTCATGTATTGTTTCATGTGCAATGTTTATCCATGCATTGAGAATGCAGTAAAATGTTGAAAGTGATGTCTGATATACTGTATGAGGATGTATACAGTTAGCAACTAAATTACGGTATTCATTCCCTTTACCTAGTTTTGTAATTTTTGAAGTATGTGAAAAATAAAAGTGTCCCGATTTATATATCTGGACAGTGTGACATCTTACATCTAAAAGTATTCAACCAAGGCCCTAATTCAACCAAGTCTACCTTTCAATTGTGAGCTTTGAAAAAAAGGGAAAAAACATCAGATTTTGCGGGGGTATGAATAATTTAGTCATTAACTATAGTTGTTGAAAGTGATGTCTGTTATACGTCTGTTATACTGTATGAGAATATATACAATTAAGCAACTAAATTATTCATATGAGTTACGGTGTCTATGCCAATTATGGTTGTCTCTCTTTTTAGATATTGTTGATGAAGATGTACATGTATGTACAGTTTTTGGAATGATGGGTGATGGCTCTCTTGTTCGACACTCATAAAACAAAGTGGCAAGGCGTAGCCAGGGAGGATGTCAATTCGTGGGCAGGAGATAGGGGAAGGTCTCCTCTAATATTTCAGTTACATGTAACTCTGTATCTTTTTTTTTGGGGGGGGGGGGATGGGGTCACTCCCTCTCCCTTCATCTTTTTCTGTAGCTCTATCACTTTCATCCTAGCTCTGCTTTCTCTCTCTCTCTCTGTCTATTATCCCCCCCCCCCCCATCTCTCTTCCCCTCCCCCATCTCCCTTTCTTTTTCGTATGTATGTATTTTATTTGTAAGTGCTGCAAAGTTTAGTCAAATATATATTATTAACTTGTAAGATAAAAAGAAATTATTGCTTTTCATTCTTTATTTGCCGAGATAATATCTATGCTTTGTTTTTCCAAAGTGGTGCTGGATACATTGGCCCAAATTCTGCTAATATTGAAACCCGACATTGGGCTCAAGCTTTTGTTCAAAATCAGGTTCAACAAAGGATGTTAGTCTATTAAACAGAGATGCCAGTCTTCAGGCTTTTGCCTGATTTCAGGCCCTTATTTCTGGCTTTTTTAAGCTTTATATTGTACAGCACATATGGGGCTTTAACGTGTTCTGGCTCCTTTTCAGACCCAGTGACTAAAAACTGACTGGCATCCCTGATTAAAGAGAAGGTTGAGTTCTGGGAAGAGGTGAAAAATAATTTGTGAGCATTACTCATTCTTATTATGCAAGTGTGGAAGAACATCAGTTAAGACATGTTCCCTGAAAAGCATGGCTCTTCAAATGCCTTCATATTCTAAATATGCATGTAACATCGTAAAAATCGGGGGGGGGGGGGCGGCTTTTTACGCCACGAGTTCGTGTAGTCCCATATACATCTTTCTGTGCAAGTGTTTGTAACTTTACCAAGACTTGGCCACATTTCTTATCATTTTGATGATTCCAGAACCTTGCAATACACACAAATTCTTATATGCTAGATGATCAACCTTTTCTTGTCGGTTCCACACCGTTTCTTTCACAATGCAATCGCATGACCAGAACTCAACTTCATCTTTAAAGGTAAAGGTGTCCTTTGTTAAACGTGATCTTAGACACAGGTTTGAGATCAATTGAATGAGTGGAACACAGACCATAATGTTCTAATTGTTGAAGCAATATCGGAAATGAATGATGTGTACAATGTATGTAATATGTCGTAAAGGGATGATTTTTCTTGTGTACAATATATCAAATGCAATCCTTGAGAGAATTACTTAGTTAAGGTTCTAAACTATCAAATTTTTGAACCTGTTGCATACTAAGCTAGAGATTTAAATGTATTCAAATCTTTTAAGAATTTGAAAAGAAGATAATTAGCGTCTTTTGGTTAAAAACATGTTTTGGGGAAAGAAAGGTCTCTTTATGAATTGTACATTCATATGTAGTTTGTTATGCATGAGTATAAACTGCATTTAAGTCTATACTCTGTATATGTCTGCCTGGAAAGGTTGATTTTGATTGATGATATGTTTAAGTCATTTATATTTCTTGCTCTTGTTATAGTGATGGGTGAATACTAGGATCATGGTTTAGTAAACTCCTTATTGTA